GAACTCTGACCACTAGACCACAGAGGCGGTCTCTCTTCCACCTTAGATCAGAATATTTTTAGTACCGTCCTCAGACACGCGCGGTAAACGTTCGCCGCTTAATATGGAAGGTCAGACCTCGTGAACAACATCCACTAGGAAGACCTAGGAGAAGATGGAAGGATACTATTAAGACGAATATTAGAGAAATATTCTGTGAGTGAAAGGTGGATTGAATTGGTTAATATCGACGCCGGTACAGATGTTGAAGTATTTGGCACGTGTGTAACGCGACTGGCCCTTATTTAAGATTACCGGATTAGAATCCGTTTCTGGGACCGGCTGTTCTCCTTGTAGTTTCTTGTCCGCTGAGTGAGAGTGCGTGATAATGCATTCAATTAAATGCTTCTTCCCACCACTTGTTAGTAATTAGTACTTGTAAATCCACATAATAGGACTCAGTGTTGAATATCACTACGTGGGTTTTCTTACTCGCTTCAGAAGAATACTGGGACAGCACCTTAAAATGAAAATGTAGTGGACCAAGACTTGCCGCCTAGAATAGTAGAAAATTATAGGAGGGTTATAATTGAGAACGGGGAGCATTGTGCTACAAGCCGGAAGGTCGCCGGTTCGAGTCCCGATGAGGTGGACTTTTTCAGTTTTCAGTTTACCTAACCCTTGCAGCCGCACTGTGTACCTGGGGTCGACTCAGCCTCTAACAGAAATGAGTACCAGGAATCTTCCTGTGGTGTAAATTGCGGCCGGCCCATAAGGCTTACGACCTTACCGCCATCTGTGAAGCGACTGTTTAGAAAATGTGAGAGCCTCGACGTTTCACAACCCTCTGCTCTTCCACGCCCTGTTGCAGGATAGATTTACCTCTGTCTTATTGAATATTGCTTGTTTTATTTGCAGTACGAATGTTATGGTTGTTTTTTTCTGATAACCAGGAAATTATTTCCCCTTTTCTTTTCTTTTTTTTTTGCGCTGGGTTGTCTTCTGATGTTCAGTAATTTCGAAGAAATAAGAATAAGTTTATGCAACCAAGAGATTACGTAAAGAAGGTCTGAAAGTTCCTGACTGTGGTATATTAATACACTGATTGCATTTTTTTGGCATTACCCATTGTAATATTTATTTAAATCGACGTGTTTGGGACTGGACTACTGTTTCCGTTCTGAGGTGTAAAACCAACTCAGTTGGGCCAAGTCGGTAGAGCGAGTCCCTGTCTCTAGGCCAACTATCGATTGGACCCATCATAGTGGGCTTTATACCTGAGAATGGAGACAGTCCAGTCTCCGAAACATCATTCTAAACAAAAATAGAACGATAGATAATATCCAAAAAGTTACTAACTGAAAGATATTAGGCGATATGTCCATACTGCTTGAAACTTATATTTGGTGGAGTGGTTGCTAAGTTTTTGTGGTTTTCCTCAGTTCCTCCAGGCAAATACCGGGAGAGTATCTGGGTTAGGCCCGCACTGCTTCCTTCCAAATCCTTTCTAATTCGTCACTCGTCCTATCCTACGACGCCGTATAACCTCCATGCTGACGGCCTCGTAAAGTAGCCCACAATGAAACATCTATTCTTTCACCCGATGTAGTGTATTGATTTATCGATGTAAACTGACAACTCTACGTTTTACTTCGACGATCCTGGTTTTCCTGTATTTTACTTGGATTTTTGGCCTTATTCCAACCTGTGGCCCTCCCAGTCTTCTGGTTAAACTCTTAGCAAGTTTCAGTCTTGCTACAATCCTTTAGAGAGCCGGTATAGCGACTGGTTACGAGCTGGACGACCAAGGGGTTGGAGTTCGGGTCCCGGTGGGGGCAAAAATTTTCACGTCTCCATGTCGTCCAGACCGGTTCTGGGCCCACCCAACTTCCTATCCATTGGGTACTCGGGAATAAAGCGGCCGGGGCATGAAGCTGACCACTCACCACCTAGTGCCATGATCAAGAAAACGTGGATATATACATCCACTCCCCATACGCCTTTATGGCGTAGTGCCTAATTACTTAAGCAGAGGGACAGCTTTATCTTTACTTTCCTTTATTTTATTTGTATATTTTTTATTTTTCATGATATGCATCCGACCGAGATATTAGCGCTTTGCATTTTGTGTTATTCTAAAAGTTTACACACACAAGCCGTTTTAAGGGATTTTTTTATACAAAATATATGTTTCAGAAGCCCGCTGTCTGTATTTCTTCAGGTAAAAGGAAAGATACTTGCTTATTATGTTGAGATATTTCCTTCTACGAGAAGATGGGAATAGTCACACTCGGAAACGTGTAATTTATTTCTCTTTCCAGACACTGGAAAACATTGGAAAACCATGTATGGTGATAACCGGACCATTGTCACAAGCCCTTAGAACCATACAAAATCAGTTTGTTTTCTTCATGTATGAACATTTTCTGTTCATTGAATCTTTCATGCGCACAGACGTATATGTGAAACCTCTGTTCAAATTTCGGTTATCAACCAGTGTGCCCAAACTTACTGCTATGAACCGCGTAAGATGAAGTTTGTGGTGTGATGTTTATCTTGCATCGGGGCGTGGTTCCTTCTATTGATCCACAGAAGAGGCTGATAAATATGCTTCCCATACTCATATCTTAAAGGAGTATCTAATACCATTTGGAGATTTCATTATCACAGGAAGTAGGCAGCCATAAATGAAAATAAAGATACTATTGCTCCTAAGCTTTGGAAATAGAGGGCGTAGAGGGAGAACTCCATGAATTTTTACCGACGCCTTTGCGTAACGGTTAAAGGTTTTGATTTGTGGTGACAGTTAATGGTTGTTTATAATCATTGCATATGGTTAGGTGGATACAGCATTATCCAATGTAAGTGATGCTCAGTTCGACTTCCAATATGTAATTGATAAAACGTGTATAACATTGACGCGTACCGGAGTGGTCGTTCATTTCCCCATGTTTGATTTTGAAGACTATTCAACATAAACCTTGGTTTGAATGTATGTTGCAGTGATTAGTACTTAGAGAGAACCAACACAAAATTTTGTTTGAATATTTTTCACCCTGATATGTATTTGGAGAGTTCTTGCTGAAAAGGGTGTGGTGTCCATAATTTGTCTTCGGTTTTGGTCAGAGTTAATCGATAAGGATTGCCTAGCAGTTTCGCTCTAGACATGTATTTGATGTGCCCGATTCGAATCTCGAATGGTACACCTGTCGTAACTGAGGTACTTAGTGATTTTCACCCAGGCAGTTGTTCTGACATCAGACATATAGGCTCAGTACTCACAGTGTCATGAACCCAACTCGCTCAGGATTCGTTGAAATAACTAATCAGCCGAAGTTGGATTTGTCTTGACAGTATTTAGTGAGTCGTCCACATCAGATAAAAAAAAAGTGTCCAAAGGTTTAGGCACTGATAAGAGATACAGAGAGGCACACATGACTGCACATAAAGGCATTCTTTATTGCTTTGTAAAGAACTTCCAAAAGTTTGAAATTATAGAGCCCATTAAGTTTCAGGAGTTTAATTTGAAACATTGTGAATATCAGCGAAGTACAATGGAAAATAATGTCTGACTCTGGAAAGTGTGAGTGGTTCTGCAGCAGTACGATAGGTGTCTGCAATAGAAGGGAAGAGACTGTTGGTGTCTCCTGGTCTCTCTTTTGTTGCTGAATAAACTGCAAATTACTTGTCCAAAGTAGTAGTTGTCTTTTATAATTTAAGGATTTTTTTTTGAGTCGGAAATGCATTTAAATATTATGTAATATGATTTGGTAGCATACAGCAACCAGTATAAAGGTAGAAATGTTTGACGTATTGTGGTGTGTGACTTTGGAGATTTATCAAGATTACAGTCTTCAGAGATGTTACACTGCATAAGATGGTAGAGAGGTAGCAGTGATTTAGAAGTATATGCTGCCTGCATCTTCTAATTTTAAGAAGTTAATCTGATATATGCAATTCTGATGGCCTCACTATTTAATATGAGAATGGCACTGGGACAGATTTTCTTGGCGTGCTTCAGTTTCTCCAGTAAAGTCTCATTCCACCAACTGTTCCACATTAATTAATCATCGTATCATCGACACTGTATGGCCTTGATACTGACACCATTAATAAAAAACGGATTAAAAAGAATGTAATAAGTAGGAAGTTAAAAGAAGTTATTGAAGGAAAGATAGAGGGGCGGATAGAAGTGACCAGAAGACATAAGAAGATGCTGGATGACCTTGGGGACAGAAGAGGATACTTTCATTTGAAGGAGAAATTTCTAGATCGCATCAAGTGGAGGAACTGTTTTAGAAGAGACTGTGGACCTGTCGTCTTGACAGATTACTGATGAATGAATGAAGTAGGAAGTCTTAAACCAAGACGTTTTTGGGAGCTTGTATATGGATCCCATCCAGTGCATTTTTTATTGGTTACAATCTAGTTGTACACCAAAATGTTATCCCACATTCCCTAACTTGATTCTTCCGTAGTTATCGACCGCCTCTGTGGTCTAGTGGTCAGAGGTCCTGGGTTATATTCCTGGCGCTACCAGATTTTCTGAGAATAAATGGGTCTGGAACGGGGTCCACTCAGCCTCGTGAGGATAATTGAGGAGCTACTTGAATAGAAAAGTAGCGGCTCCGGTCAAGAAAACTTAAATTAATGGCCGTGGGGAACCGTTGCGCTGACCACGCGACACCCTCTATCCGCTAAAGTTGGCACTAACTTCGCCAATAAGCGGCGGTGCTCGGTCGGTTAAGGTCGGTTAAGGTCGGTTGCGGACTACAGGCCACGGAGTTTTTTCCATAGTTATCTGATGTGCAGAAAAATTATGGCTTGTGAATGTAAGAAGATAGTCTTTGGTGTAAGCAATGTCAGAAAATCAGGGAGAGCGGCTTGAAAGACAGAGAAATAAACTCTGTGTAGTGGTGATAGAGCTCTGTATATTGATAATGAACCAAGGAGGAAGCAGGTCCATCTCTTGAAATGTGTGTTACCACAGTTGTCTGATCTTTGTACTGTTTCCTTTTCAGCTGTGCACGGGATGTCAGATTCTGAAGTAAGAACAGGCAATAAAGATGACTTCCTGCCACCTTTGGTACGACTAGAGAAATGTTCACAGTCTATTAGCTTCTTTGATCGGTAAGTACTTTTCAGCACTTCTGATCAAAATATCACTGTAAGCAGCCACTTTTTGTTTTGCTGATGATATGCCCTTTCTTTTTAAAATGTATTCGTGCAATTTTATTAATTTTTCGGTCAAGCCTAATTTCAAACTGGATAAGTTGAAGTGGCATGTTCGAGTGTTTTATGTATATAGATCTTTAAGCCTTCATGGCAGTGAAGTCTTCATGAACAATCAGCTGTATTAATGTGGAGTTGGTGTCAAGCATTTCAGGGACTCTCATCATCAGAGGTTGATGTGATAAGTGTTGTATACAAAGCTGTGCTCCATCCCAGCCTCAACCACATGGGAATGTGGGGGGACTCAGGTGGTCAGTGTCACTGCATGGTGAACGGTTGGTCATTAGAATTCATGGTCGTTATGATATTTTAAGCCGAGCGGTCTAAGGCGTCAGTCGCTCGGAAGCCGGGATCGTGGGTTCGAATTCCACTCTGGGCATGGATGTCTGTGTGTGTTTTTCTGTGTCTGTCTACAGGTAGAGGCCTTGCGACGAGCTGATCACTCGCCCAAGGAGTCCTACCATATGTGTAAGATCTAGAAAAACCGAAATGAACGGAGTTCATGGAGGTAGGCCTAGGGCCACTGGGGCTGTAGTGCCGCGGGGGGGTGGATGATATCTTAAAGTTCTAGTATCGTTTTAATATATTTGTGGCCGCTATGGTGAACAGCTTAGAAGAAAACTCACATGTCTGTTAAAGTTGTTTGGGTTCAGCTGACTCAGTGTCTTCCTTGACAGAGTGATCCTATAGCTTGTCATACTTGCCAGTGCCATGTTTTCCTGAAGTTTAGTTGAAGTTTTGTTCCTCCATTGCTGACTCTTATATCTGTGGCTGTCCATTCCACTTGCTTTTAGCTGCAACTCAATAAGCTATTTGTGTTTATAGTGAGAATGTGCAACAGAATCTTCTCATAGGCTTATTTTGTGAAATTTGGGGTTACATGCAACAGGGTGAGTTGTATGGGAACACGGAGAAAGGTAATGCCTCCCATTTTCTCTTCCATGTGAATAATATACAGTAAAACTTGGTTATAGCAACATCGGTTTCTGCGACACCTTGTCTATTGCGTCAAATATTCAATGGTACGAACTAATTCCTCATAAAGCAACTGTTTTTATACCTTGCTTAGTACGACATGCACAAATGCATCAACCTCGTATGTAACGTCATTTTCATTCCTGAATTTTTCTGATATGGACATTGAACGTAATTTAGAAAGTGTGTATTGGGCAAGTAACAGGAAACAGATGAAGATAACTGATTACTGTACTCGTATCTAGGTACAGTAAGGCACAACAATTGATGTAATCTACTGTAATTTGGTGAGTAGGCCTACCTTTAATATACAGTATTAGTGCGGTGTGTATTGTCAGTGAAAAGCGCTGTAATATGTCTTTGATATTACACATTTGGGCAATTCCACGTTAATGTTACGTTAGTCTGTACTTAACTATGTATTTCACTAAAAAATGCAACGTTTTAACTCGGTTTTTGGTACATTTTTACGTGACTAACATAAGGCTACTGTGGAAGTGCCCATTTCGGTTACAATGACATTCGTTTATAACGACACTATTTTTAGGTCCCTTTGATGACGTTATAACCAAGTTCTACTGTATATTGAAAAAGAGCATTTTCCTTGAACTGCATTACGAAATTTCATAAAATTCTCAACGTAATGACTTGTCATGTATTCACTTAAACCAGCATCAGGTAGTTTCATGAGTACAATCTCAATTGAACTATGCATCTTGTTAATGGAACTGTATTTTCACCATTGTCTTGACTTCATCATCTGACAGGAAGTAATGCTGATAGTGATGGGTGTGGTAATGGTGATCGTGATACAGGGGACAGTGGTTATGGTAGTCACCAGTGACTCAGTCAGTGCAATCAGAAACTCAGTCCCGTGTCTTTACACTGCCATTTTCAAGGCTATAATTCAGAGACCTGTAGTAGCACAACTATGAAACTTCATGTAAAATGCAGGAAAATGTAATTGAATGGATGCAGTTCTAACTGCTATGTGGGTCTTACTTTACAGCATGCTCTCATACAGTGAGAAACTTCTGTGTTAAATTGAAGCCTGCATTTTGCAGAGGCTTATTAGATGCTGAGTCTTGAAGTATGAGAACTTTATTTTGATATATTTTCTATTTAGTCAATTTTATGGATTAGTGTACAGAAACTGTCAGAACTTGTTATCCCTATGTACTGTAACTTTATTTAATTAACGATATCTTCGTGACACAGGTCATTGTTTTAAGCATTGCGCTTGTTAAAGTATGTGTGTTAGTGTTCAAGGGCAATAATCCATTTCCAAAATATCTTCCCATTGCAACTGAATTTTAACAAATCTCAGATTATAAGACCATCATCATGTTTCTGATTCTAACATGAAATATTTTTATACACTATATGGATCCACGTTACTAAACTATGTCTGTAGAAAAAATTCACATGCTTAGCCCAGTTGGTTCATTAGTTACAAGCTTCAAAGGGGAAACCAGGTATAGGTTTGGTAGGCCGCCAGTTATTTTACATCCTACAAAAGTAAGGTCTCAACATTTTTTAAGGCTGTGTTACTGCACAAAATATCAGAAAACTGCATTAAGTTGTAGTGATATCACTTTCACCTTAGAAGATTGTGTAATCACCATGTTGATATTATTTAAAATAGGAAATCTGATTAATAGTGTTATATTTTAGCGTCCTGTTGCACTGATTCACGTTCATGATGTGTATTTGTACCAACCGTCTTACAGCGCACGTAATTTCACCTTTCTCTTCACTGCATGTTTCGGCACTAATGTGCCATCTTCAGGTGTGGTTTTGTTTACATCAAACCATGGCACTGTATGCCATCATGTCTCCTTTATAAAATGATTAAAATGTATAATAATAAAGTTTATATATAAAAACTTTTCAAGATTTATCATCTATATGTCGCACTTCAAATTCGCGAGTTACGTCAATCCTCTCCTATGGGAGTACTCTTCCTATATTCTTGTGTATATCTGCAACGTGAAAATGTTACTAATTAATACCACATTCCGACTTCTATCTGTTACATATGGTTTTACAATGTTTAATACTCACTGTGTCCTGTGTTGTGTCCTTGCGTTGTGTTGCTGGATATGTGTGTGTGCTGTCTTCATATTGATTGAGTTATGATGTTGTGGGATGTTATGTTGTTCTGTGTAAATAGTGTGTAATTCGTGAAATATTGGGTTATATATTTCTTTATTTATGTTGTTCATATGTGTGTTTTCCCTTGTTGTTCTGTATATATGATAGTTTTCTAATGTGTTTAAATATTGTCCTTTCTTATTCGTTGCTATGATATCCATAGTATTTTCTATTGTACCATATGCATGTCCTGTGTTTAATATGTCTTCTGAGTATCCTGTATTGCTGTTATTGTGTCTTAGGTCGTGTATGTGTTCTTTGTCTCTGGTATTAAATTTCCTCCCAGTTTGTCCTATATATTCCATGGGGCAATCTACTATATTATACTATACTATACTATATATGCCACTATTGTTATATTTATTTATTCGTGGTCTTGATTTTAATATGTGTTGTAAATTGTTCTTAGTTCTAAATGCTATTTTCAATTTTGTGTCTCGAAATATTTTTGTTATATTTCTTGTGTCTTTTCCTATATATGTAAATGTTGCCCATTTCGTTTTTGTTTTTTGTTCTTCTGAATTCTCTGTAATGTTCTGCTTTTTTGTAATGTTTCGTTTTCTGTTGTGTAGTTAGTTTTGTAATTATATCTGTATCGTACTTATTATTTATGAGTATGTTATTCATAGTAGCTGTCTCATTATCTTTTGCTATTCTGGTAATGGGGTAGCTATTTACGCGATCTATGAGGTATTTAATACCAGCTATCTTGTGGATGACATGAGTCACTTGGTATTATTATGTCTGTTGCTGTGTGTTTGCGGTGGATTGAAAATTGCAAACTTTCTATTCCTCTATATATTCCTTGTGGAAAGCAAATGGAAAAACTACCACATTATCACCTTTCCTGGATAGTCTCTTTCCAAAAACAGAAGATCACTTTAAGTGGAGGAACTGTTTTGGAAGAGACTGAGATTGGAAGAGATTACTGATGAATGAATGAATATATTCCTATGTCTAGGAAATTTATAGATTTATGGTTCTCTTTCTCCTTTGTGAAATGTATCGTTGGTTGCAGTGTATTAAATTCTATAATCATATCGCCAATCTGCAATTTTCAATCCACCACAAACACACAGCAACAGACATAATAATACCAAGTGACTCATGTCACCCACAAGAACACAAGATATCTGGTATTAAATACCTCATAGATCGAGTAAATAGCTAACCCATTACCAGAATAGCAAAAGATAATGAGATAGCTACTATGAATAACATACTCATAAATAATAAGTACAACACAGATATAATTACAAAACTAACTACACATAACAGAAAACAAAACATTGCAAAAAAGCAGAACATTACAGAGAATTCAGAAGAACAAAAAACAAAAACGAAATGGGCAACATTTACATATATAGGAAAAGAAACACGAAATATAACAAAAATATTTCGAGACACAAAATTGAAAATAGCATTTAGAACTAAGAACAATTTACAACACATATTAAAATCAAGACCACGAATAAATAAATATAACAGTAGTGGCATACCGTATTTACGCATGTATAGGCCGCACATTTTTTGCCAAAAATTCAAGAGGAAAACTGGGGTGCGGCTTATATTCGAAATATTCGAAATCACACTTCATTTAAAAAAATTATATTCATAATTAGTAATACAGGGTGTTCTACTCCTGAAATAATATTCCAAGAAAATTATTTTTTCTATAATTTCTGTCTGAAAATTGTGCTGCGGCCTATGCACGCACGCGGCCTATACATGCGTAAATACGGTATATAGTATAGTATAATATAGTAGAT